GCAATAAAAGCAATAAACCATTGATTAGTTTTAAAAGATACTTCGATCTTAGTTGGATGATGATAAGAAGAAAAACATATCTGTTAATTTTTTTTAAAAACACTTGATAACCTTTTAGAGTAATTTACATATATATTATTATTTTATTATAATAAAATTTGTGATAAATCAATCGGTAATTCATGATCATAATGAGTTTATCTCCTAAATTCATAAATCCATTAGGGGTAACCCACCGAAGACTCCTTTATTTATATGGGTAAAAAATATAACCCTCATCCAATTAAATTATAGACAGGTTTGGATAACCCATGTGTATTGACCTTTTGACACACCTACATGTAGGTTCATATGAGTTTATTATTTTTTTTAGACAAAGATTGAGTAGTTTCCAATAAAAATCTATTGTTTATGTTTCAATGTTTCTATTATTTCAAATATAGTTTATAAAATAGTTTTGYTGATATAAATAATACTCATATTATCACAATAAATTTATTAAAAATTGACAAATTTATGAATTTAGAACTATTAGATGTTTGTATATTTTGCAATTATTTATTTCATATATGTGATCTAATTTTTCGGTTAAATGAAAATAATTTTTTTCTTTTTTTTTTAGTCTATTAAATAATTTTTTCCTATGAATTTTAGTCTATTAAATAATTACGACTCAAGTAGTGATGATTCCATTTCATTTTGATCAGAGAGGAGATATAACAAAAGCAATGAAAGATTGGATTAAACCCAGAAACAACACGAATTTTTCTTACATCTTACGGTTCATGGATAGTATAACACAAATATTGTCCTCAAGAACAATTTTATTGAAGGGAACACAAATCGTTATCAAATTTTGAGGTAAAACCATGGATTCTACTTCTTGTTGGCGATGAATAAAACCCATTTTTGTTCACCAGATGTACTCCTTTCAAGCTTTGATTTTCATCCTCCAACTATGTCATTGTAATCCTCCTGCATCACAAAAATGTTCGAAAAAGATGTTGAATCAATGAAAAAGTGGTCTTTTATTCAATGAATTTGGTAGTGAGAAATGTTTTTACTTCCGAGAAGTCGTTGATGAATTCTTCTGTTTCTTTTTCCACACTCTCTAATTCACGCCTCAGGACTTGTACAAACTGCGAAAAATGGTTTATGTTAGAGTCCCCATTATACAAAGAAATGTATACATGTATGTTTTATGCAGAAGTCACCTGATCAGTACGATCTTCAGCGATCACATCCTCAAAGCCTGCGTCTTTCAACATCTATGGGTAGAATGTTTTAGAAACACCATCTAAGATTTTCTGTCTCGGTTTAAGGTCCATCTTTGCCACAAATTCTTTAGTTGTCTCTGTCAAAGGAAACAACTAAAGAACCAAAGAAAACAACAAAATCAGCAAAAACAAAATCTTTCTTGGAGCTAGCTTTGAAAGATGTTCACTCTTAGCTTCGGTACAAACCTAAAAATTGGACAGAAGATGCCGTGTTAAAACAAATCAAATGGTAAATCGATCCATATGAGCAAAAGTAACCAAACATGCTATATAAGATACCATTTTCCCCCAAGCAAAAATCAAAGCTGTTGTCTTTGGCTCTCTTATCCTCATTGGTTCACAGTTGAAACAATGTTCCTGAAACGAACAAACAAACAAAATCTTGTCATTCACAACAAAGCACAAACTCATAATCTAAAAAGTTACAAAAGAGACACAAAAGTTAAGTATGAGAAGTACAATTAGCATCATGTATATTTGATTGGAGGATGTTCTTTTGAAGCATTATTCAATTTGTCAAGAACCAATATTCAAAGGAAACTCACATAGCATGATTAGGGAAATTCTGGAATATAATCGATACCATTGCCTCTTCAGCCATTTGATCAGCCATTGTAACAGGACCTACATAAATATCCAAATCAGAAAACACAAACATTTAACTCTCAGAAATTGCAATATATATTCTCCAAAAATAGACTTACATCTGGATGCTTTCTATGAACTGCAAGCTCCACATACATACGAATCCAATCAGCGTCTACCAACTCTGAGCACTTGCATTGCATGATTAAGAAAGCACAAAAATGATTACATTTTCTGTGGAACATACTAACACATATTACACACACTAACACATTTAAATATCGTAATTAAGATATTTGATAATTTCGTTCTGTGTAAACAAAAACAAAACACATTACAAATAAATCCGAATATATACTTAGCAAATGAATAGGTCACGACATGGAAAAAGGAACAATACTCACCCTGAGTAATAGTCTCTGGGGATATAGACATCCCTCACAGGTCCAAACCTCTCAAATGGAACACCTAAGATCAAGGCAGATCAAGATCAAGATACATACATAAAACAACTAAAAGAGAGAAAGAAAGTTTACTTAGATAAAGTATTCACCTGCTGGAAAATGATTGAGCTTGACTCCTTCAGAGGGCAAGTGATGATCCTTGGTCGTATCACCATACGCACTGATCGAGACAGTACCGCGATGACCTGAACTCACAAGGTTCGATATGATATTCTCCAAAGCAAGACCAGCATTGAAATGATCTAGAGCCATTTGGTCTTTAGTCACACAGAACTTGTTGAAACAAAATACACTGCCTACGAAATGGAATCCACATAGGACTTTAGAATCGAGCTTTTAGTTAATAAACAATCATCCAAATAGCATAAGAACATCAACACATAACAAAAAGGATAGGCAAAGACCCAACAAATAYATATCRGATTCAATCRCTAGAACAAAGCTAAARCATTCAACTTTYAGAAGCTATTTCCACAACTAACAATACCCACGAAAAAATCAAGCCAGTAAAACATCATCAGAGCAAAATTAACTTAATTCCATGAATCGAAAGAGCTAAGCTAAACTTGCTCAATTCACAATAAAATAACAACAACAAAAGCAATACTTACTCAAATCACGAGCAGATGCTCCGAAGATTAAATATGGATCAAACGAATAACTGTAGAGCTCCAGAATCCAAAGAGAGGTAGATAAGGAATTAACTCACTCGGGAAAGYAAATATCTGATTTGAAGAATGCA